TGGCCTTGTGTAGAGTGTAGTTGGCTACAATGTGTCCTCTGTGGACTGCCCCTTGTGTGGTTCTTTGACTGTCTAGAGAGTGGGCCTCTGGTCGGCTTTGGTGTTGTTTACACTCCTTGGCACTTCTGGGTTGTCAGCTTCTCTAGCTGCACATGTTAAAAGAAAACCCAGGGAAAACCGCGTCTTCTATTGACTGTAAGGCCTCTGGCTGGCACGCCTCTTCTTCCCACCTTCGTTTTCTGTTTGCTTTGTAAACAATGACCAACATGCTCAATTGTATTTTGCAGGAAGAACAGGGAAAATTATGCCAACTCTTTTCATGGTAGTGGGGTAGAAGCCAAGGTAAACATTTTTTAAATTTAAAAATTTGAAATCAAATCTTTTGATGTATTGTTTCTCTCTCTCTCTCTCTCTCTCTCTCTCTCTGTGTGTGTGTGTGTGTGTGTGTGTGTGTGTGCTTTGTTTCAAAAATCTTTCCCTACCCTGAGTTTGTAAATATTTTTCTCAGCATGAGTTCTGAGTTATAGCTTTTGTGTTAAGTTTGTTGAACCACAAACAAGTCAGTTTGTGTCTGTTGTAAAGAAGGGTTGAGGTTAGTTTTTACCCTGTGAATTTCTTGTTATTCCAGTACCTTGGTCGAAAGTCTGTCCTTTTCTCCTTGACTTAACCTTCACAGTTTTGCTGACACTAAGCTGAGTGGATGTGTCTGTCCTTGGACTGTTCTGGCCCATTTGTCTCTCCGCCCGCTTCACCCCAGATCTGCACTGCCTCGGTTACCACCGCTGGTACCGCCTCATTCCGGGGCCACAGGCTCCCAGGGGTATAGGTTGGGGATATATGAAGTCCATTGGGCTTGGTGAAAATTGAGATTTTAACCATTTTTTCTTTCCATCTGGACTGTGTTACACTTCCCCACATACTAATGGCCTCTGTAATTTCCCTGAACTCCACATTGGCCTTTCTTTCCTCAGGTGTTTGCTAAACTTTGAGTTTTTTTTTTTTTTTACTGTCATTGTAAATATTTTTAAATTTTATTTTACATTTGGTTGTGCACAAAGCACATTTTCTTTTCGTAAATATTAGCTGGGCACTGCTTTTAAGATCGTTTGATGATTTTTGCCCCCTCACTGTACTGTTAAGGTAAATTGCCTTCAGTTGTCACTTTGTTTCTTTGGATTTAAATCCAACATTTGACCAACTTTTTCCTATACGTACTATCTGTTTGTGGAACCCTTTTGCCTTTTGTTCTTCCTTCTTTTGATTGATTGCACCTTTAAAAGAAATGATTCTCTTTTGTAATTCTGGCTTGGTGATTGCTTTATTTTCAAGTCATATTTGCTGCTGTATGTGGATTGGTTTTTGAACTGCTCTATTACATGTCATTTTCTCTGGTTTTCTGTTCTTCATACCGTGTTCCTTCCTTATCTTTTTTTTTAATTGATACAAAATTTTATGTTATTTGTGTAGTGTATTTTTCTCATGGTGGTTTTGCTGCAAGTTTTAAATATGTTGTTGATAAAAGTGTTGAAAGTTAGATTATATCCACCTAAAATTACAAATGCCTTAAACACCTTTAATGCTCATGATCTGCTGCATTTTTCATGGATTTTTTTTCTAATCTGTTAGCTCTTTATTGTTTTTCACTTGTTTTTAAGACTGTTGCAGGATGCCAGGAACTGTTTAGTCCATCGTTTTATCCAGTTTTTTACTTTTTAAAAATTCTTTCATCTTAGCCCTTTACTTGTCATTTCTCTCTTTCCAAAATTTTTTAATGCTTCCTGTTTTAAAGATAATTGTTCTCCCCAGTTCAGGAAAAAATGTTTAAACAGGATCCTAAAATGATTTTTCCCCATTTGTCTTTCTGGAGTTTCTATTCACTCTGTCTTAAATTTACTCTGTTTTTTCCAATCTCTTTTATACTGTTTTTCTTCCTTTTTACTCTGTATTCTGAGTAATTTCTTCATCTATTTGTTTCATTTTATTATTCTAGCTCCACCTGGGTTTGATTTTTTTGTCCAGCCTGCCCATTGCATTTTTAATTTCCTTTCAGTCACTGTTTGTAGTTCAAATAGGTCATCTTTAGGATTCATTTCTTACCAGTGTGGTCTGGGTGTGAATGTCTCCCATAGAGTTTCAGAGAGTGTCTTCATGTCCTTTTGCCTAATGCTCCAAATGGCTGTCAAGCAGAGACAATTTTAAGCCATTTTCTGACTTGGAATTTTTTGTACAACACGGGAAATGCTGTAAAAATTGCAAACCCACTTGAGAGCAGACTATTATGTGGGACTTTGCAGAGAATTTTGTGTTTTTTTGTTCCCCATCTCTCCATCCCACAACCAGCTTCTGACAGAGAAGTGTTTTTGTTTTTCCCCCTTTTTGAAATTTTTTCCTGGTCCACTGTTTCTCTTAGAGCCTTGTTGTCTTGTTACTGGTTTAGGCTTTTCTCGTGTTCTCCTTAGGCTGGTATGTTTGAAAACCTTGGAATGCTGAGATTGCTCCCAAATAGCAGTGCAGCTTTCTGTTTGTAGCTTTCTCCCTCCTACAGCCCTTATCTTCTTTTTTTCTCTTTCCCACACTGCTCCTTTCTTTCGCCTCTCTCTTTCCGCTTTCTCTCCTGCCTTCCTGCTATGCTGTCTTCTGTCTTCCTTTACCCCCATGCCTCTCATTGCAGAATGTAGCTGTGCAAGCTTGTTGTGTTGTGTTCCGTTAGGCAGTCTTTAACATGAAGATCTCTCTAGATAATGGAAGAACCACACAGCCAGAAATGGACAGCTTTCCCTGTATTTTAAACCTAATTTTTCTACTTGTCCAAACCCCATTGTTTTTTTAAATGAGAACTATATTGTTTCTTCAAAAGAAAATTTAATATCCCAAATTTAAATCTAAATAGTTTTAAAATATATAGTATAATTTTTAATCTTTCTTCTAAAGGCCTAACCTTTTTTTTTTTTTTTAATGAAAGCTTCGGTTTTTGTGGAGTGGAACGGCCACTGCTTCAGCACCAAGTGAAGAATGGACAAAGCAGTCCACATGCGGAAGAGTGAAGGTTTTCTCTTCCAAAATCCAGGGACATTTAAGCTTCCCTCACTTCCTTCTCCTATTTTAATTATTGGATTTTTTTTTTTTTTTTTTTTGTTTTGTTTTTTACGTGTTTGTTTGTTTTTGGTACCAGGGATTGAACTCAGGACCTTGTGCTTGTGAGGCAGACAGTAGCACCACTGAGCTAATCATCCTATTTTAAGTTTTAATAAGAATTCCAATCTCACTTGGCAACTGTATTCATTTTCCCCCATAGGTTCCCAAATATAGGTACTACCTGAAGGTACCCAAAGAACTCTGTCTTGTAATATCTGTAACATCTGGTTTATATTAGTTCTCCCTGGGTGGAATCAGAACCTCCATTCGATTTGATCCTGGTATAGATAGGGTATTTTCTTCTTCTCCAGGAACTTCCATACTCCTAAGTGATGGCTGCCTCCTTGGTTTGCTGCTTTACTCTACAGCAAACACCAGAGCTACCCAGTTAATTTTATTTAGGGCTAAACTGGTATGGCCCTTAGAAGTGTGTGCGGGATGTAAAAGAATCTGTTTTACTTCTCCTTACCTAAGCTCCTGTATATGACAGATTGCTCGTTGTTGAAATCGTAACCGTTGCTTTCCCAATCCTATAACCAGTGACTAACTGTGGTGGGTTTTTGCAGGGGCGAGTAGAGAAACAAAAAGCATGGATTGGGGGAGCTGATGCTTTTTAAGTCAGTTTGTTGTTTCTTAAACTAGGTTTCTGGCTTTTGGACAGTGTTTATAATTATGATCGTCCTTATGTCATTGAGATTGGCTAAAAAAGTTTTACTTTTGCACTTATAATTTTTATACAACTCACAGAGTTCCCCCCTTTGGCATGAATTAACCCTGTGTCAGTACCTAACACATTTAGAATAAGAACATTTAGTCAGTGATTTGAAAAATTCCTTGCATTCTTTCTATATTTATTAGATAAAAGAGCTATATTCCTTCTCTTTAGATGGAAAATGGGAATAGTTGTCTGATTTTTGTGTGTGCCAGGTTTTCTCTGGTCTAGCACATTGTCTTTGTTTTGAGCTTTCTTGCACGGGATGTTAGGAAGTTGTGGTTATGAATATGTCTTCTGAAACTTTTAATTATAGTTTCACATTTAAATGTAAATAAAAGAATACCATATGTGCATCTAATTCTTAAGTACCTCTTTAAGAAGCAAGTTTGTGTTTGATCAAGTGAAAAATGACAAATTTACTAGAATTTATCAAAAGCACAGAAGGTCTTTGAAACTGAAAAGCTATTAAGTAATAGAACAATAGTTGTTGTATGTTTGACTACATTATGTGAAAAAACATTTTAAATTATTTACCACATTTTTCCATGGAGGAGAATGGACTTTACAGCACCCTTGAAGAGCACGGGAAGGCTGAAGAGCACCGTGGGTGGGTGCTGGCCCATGCTCTGGCCTAGACAGGAGGTGCAGCAGGCTGGCGGGAGGGTCTAACTCGGGACCATGCCTTGGGCTTAACACACATGGAAAAATTTAAACCTCTTATTAATTTTAGGAGTCTAGCCACAGTTACTATTACAAACATAAAGGTAATTATGCAGGACTACAGGGGTTGCCTGAGCATACGCTCCTAATGAGTCCTAAAATATGTTTTGCTAAGTTTAAGGTATAGAGTGCACTGAATTTCAAGGATCTGTCTTGATTTTGCTCGGATGCCTATCTGTATATTATTCAGAAAGCAAACAGGTGGAGCATTTGAATGTGTATCCAAATGACTTCTTTGTGTGGCCTGTAAAGTGCATTTGGAAATGTGGGGGGTGGCGGACGGCATCTTTTCATTTTACCCGTGGTTATTTATATCCTATGAATGCAAGATAAAAGAAGACCCTGAGATCCATTTTCCTTTCCCTCTTTTTTTGTTTTAAAATTGCGTTCATTGTGGCTAATGTATCTTTTCAAATCCTATTTGTTTCAGGCTAGGCATCTCATAGAGAGATTCTTTAATCAGCAAGTGGAAGCTCTGGGCAGACGTGCGGAACCATTGCCTCAGATATACTACATTGAAGGCATCCTGGAAATGGTGTGGGTTAACCGCTGCTTCCCGGGGTACGGGATGAACGCCCTGAAGCACCCGCGATGTCCCGAGTGCTGCGGTATGTAAGGAGCTAGCATTCCACCTCTGGGTCTCAAAAACTCGCTTGCTTTCACTAAGCCCAACGGCGGTCTCATTAAACACTGCTTTAGGTAAGGGGAAGTGGCATGATTGAAAAGACTCCATGACACAAGGTCAGGAGAAGCTGCAGTTTTAGTGCTCAGGAACAATGGGCAGTTGTCTGGGAGGAGACGCTGAAGACTTCTGAGTCATTTAGAGTTATTTAGCCTAAAAACAGTGAAATGCTACAGCTGTTAGAATCTGTTATTGAGAATTTACTGTATAGTCTAGGGCACCTCGCTTTGTGACATTCTTTTCTCTTTTTGAAATAAATATCTGAATCTCCTTAGTAGCAGTTGTTTTCTTTTGACTGTTGGCCCAGGCCCTGCAGGATCCAGCCTCTCCCTGATATTCATGGTCTCCCTCCTAATACCGAAGCGTTCTACAGAGGTACTTGGCTTAGTTTGAGTCCCGTACGTGAATTCTAACTCTTTGCATCTCTGTTTTCAGGAATTTAGAGGGGCAGTTAATTTCTGCCTTAGAAATGCTTTCTGGCACAAATATAACTAAGCTAGTAGCATTTCATTCTGTTATCTGATTATTTTTCTTCTTTCTACCCAGTTAGATTAAAGCTTTTTCTTGTAATAATGCAGTAAGCTTTCTTTTTACTTTTATTTGTGAGATTTTGCTTTATCATTTTCTTGTTTTGTTTTTGTTTAAATATGTGAACTTAACTAAAATGCATTAAAACTATCACAAGAAATGCGATAAAAATTTAACAAAAACAGCACTAATTGGTGATTTTCGCTCTAGCATACATACGCATGAAGAAAAGCCTAGAAATATGCAGCAAAGGAGACAGAATCTAGCAGGATAGCTATCTTCATGCATTTGCATTTTTTATCAATTCAGTAAAAAAGTAAACTAAAATTGTTTGGATATTTGCATCTCAATAATTTAGAATTTTGAATCCAACAGTTCTTTCAAAGGAAGTACTGGTACAGAATCTCTGAGAATTACAAATAATTTTGCCACTATTTTTTTTAACTTATAAAAATTTGGGTAGCCACACAGTTGTCAAAGTGTCTAATTTCACCCTGCAATTATAACATTCACATTACTATGTGCTGTACTTTTTGATCATGTTAACTAAACAGTTATTTCTGTCAACAGGCCTCATAAGGACGAATATACAATAAAATTCATATATAAACCTGAAAAATATTTTCTATCTTAAATACTGTTTTGTTCTTCCCAATACACGGTTGCTGTCCACAGAGTCTAGGGACTTAGCAGGTACATCTATGAATCATAGGGAACGAGAGGCTGCAAGACTCAGGGAAAAGACTAAGGTAAACTTGAGTTTAGGTGATGCAGGTGACAGAGAAACAGTGCACTTGGGATCAGGTTTTCTGAAGGTTGATGTGGTCACTTTGAGGATATCAGATGGCCAGCATGGTGTCAGCCAGAGCCGGGTGAGCTGGGAGCTGCTGGGGGGCTGTGGGTTGGGCTGGGGAGCTGGTGGGAGCCCCATGGGCTGGAAGTGGGGGTCAGGTCCTTAAGTGGAAGAGAGACAGAAACTCGCTGTCATTCCTCACTTACTAACTGGACTTTCTAACTAGTACCGGCCAAATTTCTATTTTTATCTTGTGCCATCCTGTGACAAATAAATACTTTAAATTAGAATGACCTTTCTGCAATTACCATCTTTGCAGGCTAAGTGAGAAAGAGCTCCCCTTTGTGACAGAAACTCATTAAATAAAATGCGACATTATTCAGTCACTTTTTGTCTCCACTCCAGAAAGCCATTGCTTCATTTTTAAAAGAGCACATATGACTCAAAAACACATTTAAATCATTCTCCAAGTGAGAATGTCGGATAACACCAGTTACAAGACGAAATTAGCATACACAGTGAACTTAGAATCCATTCGATTGTGTAGATAGAAGCTCATAAAATATATGAGTTGTTTTGAAAATGGTTTATATCAGGAAGGAAGAGGCCCCACATTTATGCTTGGCAAAAAAGATTTGAGAACGGGTATTTTATTATGTAGGAGACATTTATGTATTTTCTTAAGACATATTGGATTTGTTCCTTTTCTATGGATAGTTTCCTTGACTCATTTAATTTTTATTCCTAGATGGCAAAGATAGATTATAAACTAGTGAAGTATTAATACTTCTACCCATATACTTTTACTGTTTCTATTTCACTTCCTGTTTTTCCCACTGTAAGATGTCTTTGTAACATTCCATTTAGTGTTGTGTATTATGTTTATTTTTAATTTTTATCTTTATATTTTGTTCTACTGGAAATTGGATCCTGGGTACTATGACCAAAGTATACCCCCATCCATTTTTATTTTTAATTTTGAGACAGGGTCTCACTAAGTCACTAAACTACCCAAGCTGGGCTTCAGCTTGAAATCCTCCTGCCTCACCTTGCCAGAGTGCTGGCTTTATAGGTATGTGCCATGACGCCTGGCTCCATACATCATTTTTGTTGATCATTAAAAAGAAATTTTAGCTGGGCGTCGTGGCGCATGCCTGTAATCCCAGCACTTGGGAGGCTGAGGCAGGAGGATCGCTGTGAGTTTGAGACCAGCCTGGGCTATATAGTGAGTTCCAGGACAGTTTCAACTACCTATAGTGAGACCCTGCCTCAACCAAAAAAAAAAAAAAAAAGAAAAATAGTTTTTAACTAAATTCATGTATTATAGATGTTTCATAATTTCATAAAGTTGTATCTTTAAAATTATATCTTAAACAACAGTCAAGAGGAAACAACTGCTACTAAAGGGATTCAAATATTTATTTCATAAAGAAAAGAGAAAGTCACAAAGATAGGTACCCTAGACTATACAGTAAGATACAACAAAGGACCAGGCAAATGTAATTTTTTCTGGTAGAATTTTTTTCAAAATACAAACACTGAAATAGTTTACTTTCGTAGTTTCTATTTTATAATTTATAATATTTTTGTGAAAGTGCATCTTGTTTATTTATATTTCACCATTTAATGCCCACTAATTTCCTCCAAAAAACACTTGCTGAGCACAAAACCTCGCATCCTTTTTTTCCTGCCTCTGTCCTCCCACTGAGGCAGCAGGCCCCCGTCATCCATTTTCATGGTCTGACTGGAGCACAAAACAGCACCCAGCATTGTTCCTTCTGTTACTTTTTTATGAAGAAACATTAGCCATTGCTCAAGCCTTTTGGAAATTGTGAAGAGTATCTAGCAAGGAGCTGCCAATGTGATGCAGGTTTAGCCAGGAATCCAATGTGATTAGGTTAGGTTTGAAGTGGGTAATCATCCTGAGATTCTTTTTATTGAAGTGCACCTTTGCACTTAAATGACTTGTACGGTGAAAATGTAGTTGTTCAGTAGATAGTTATCTTAAATAAGGTCTTTTAGGCTCCATAGATTTATCCTGTTCAGACATGCAACCCTGAGTTCTTGGTTTAATTTTATACCAAATGACAAAAAACCCATGTATTTAAATAATTCACTTATCAGTATGACATAGAACTCATTTTGTCTTTAGATACACAAGGCCTCATTCTCATTTTGGATCATTACATCTGTAAGAAAATTATAAGTGACTGAAAAGTCATGACTGAAGGATAGGTAATCCTATCAATTAGTTGAGCGTGTTGCCTGATTTTCTTTAAAAAAGATAAGATTTATTTAGTTCCGGAAGAATAAAGAACAACTCATTTTACTGAAATTTCAAGAAACTGTCTTCCTTGCACTTGCCAGGCAGGCATGGCCCCACTGAACTAAAATAAATCCTCAGCCCAATTTTAAGTACTTTTAAGAACTAACATTGTAATGACTTGGTGGTACAGAAATCTAAAAAAATAATATAACCTGCTTCTTCAGGTTACAGTGAAGTAGATTTGAGCAGACAGAAGCTCCTGCTAAGAACATTGGAGAAGTCAATGAAAGCATAAAAATTAATTATTCTGCGGAAGACAAGTGTCAGGACACAAGGGCTCAAGAGATAGTGACCCTGTGTGGAGAATGTCGAAAGACACGAGATGACATATCTATGTGCTGAAAGCAAACAGTCGCCAGCTCGGAAGATGGCACTCCATGGAAGTATCTGTCTAAGGGTGGCAAAATAAAGATGCTAGGCAGACAATCCCGGAGAGAACTTGTCACAAGTAGAATCTGCCATTGGCATGTACTGAAGTGCTAAAGGAAGTCGGAAATGACCCTAGACAGACAGAAACATGTCATGCAGCAAGGGAAAGGAGAGGCGGAAGGGAAAAATACAGATAAGTGTAAAGAAGTACCAACCATAAGCATATGTGTGTGTTGTATGCACGTGTGTGTGTGTGTGTGTGTGTGTGTGTGTGTTTAAGCTTCCTGGGGTTTAAAATACAAAGAACTAAAATATATGGCCACAGTAACACCAGAAGTGGGGGGAAATAACTGAATTGAAATGCTCAAAGCTTCAGCTGTTTTCTAGAATTAGAGTGAATAGTGATATGTATTGGATCATAATGAGATTCAGATGCATAAAATATTCTTTAGGCAACCAGTAAGTGATAATGAAACAATATGCCCATAAATTAGATGGAAAAATGTAGAAGAAAAAAATTCCACTTGACTCACTCCCTAAAAAGTTAAGTATGAAAGGGTACATAAAGCACAGTTGGGACAAAGAAAATAAATTTAAATCAATTTAATAAATGGACTACTTCACAGCAATGAAAAAAGTCTGATATTTTGTTTCATTAAATTCAAAATTGTTTCTTTACCATATGAATTAAGAGCACATGCTGTGTTGATTTATTTTTGTTTTGTTTTGCTTTTGGTACTGGGGATTGAACTCAGGTTCTTGCCCTTGTGAGGCAGGTGGTGAAACCACTGAGCTAAATCCGTGGCCACTGTACTTATTATTTAATTTAGTTGTATATAAATACATACACATCTTTTGAAGGGCTCTCTTGTTTGTTTTACTGACCTGTGCCCATTATTAACTTTATTAATCTTTCTGCATAGATCTTCATTCTTTTTAAAAACAATTAACTCTATTATTATTAAATTATTATTAAAAATTATTAACTATTATTTTAACATATTATTTTGTGTATATTTATATATTGTTTATATAGAAGTAATATTATTTATATATTATTAGTTTTGCTTCATAAATCTTCATTCTTTTAAAAATTGTTAATTTTAAAATGGTTTATCAAGTTACATTAAATAAAATCACAGTTCAGTGTTTATGGTTTTATTGCATATATATAGATTAACAGGCTACTTTTACATTAATAGTATACAGATGTATTTTTTAAAAATTGAGTTTAAGAACCTATCTAATGATAGATTAATTTAAGGATTCCATATTATTATAGGCTATATTTGTAAAATTACTTCATATATTTCTTGTGACACTATTTTTAAATTTTTCATGTCTTTATACTTTTCTATTATATGATTTATGTCAAGGTGTATATATCTATTTTATTGTTAGTAGAAAGTGACTTTTTAAATTTTGCTACACAGATAATATTGCTGTGGTTATTTTTGTATATAATCTGTTGTTCAGAATTCTTCAGGGTCTTTAATAATATTATTTATATTATTAGTTTTGCTTCATAAATCTTCATTCTTTTAAAAATTGTTAATTTTAAAATGGTTTATCAAGTTACATTAAATAAAATCACAGTTCAGTGTTTATGGTTTTATTGCATATATATAGATTAACAGGCTACTTTTACATTAATAGTATACAGATGTATTTTTTAAAAATTGAGTTTAAGAACCTATCTAATGATAGATTAATTTAAGGATTCCATATTATTATAGGCTATATTTGTAAAATTACTTCATATATTTCTTGTGACACTATTTTTAAATTTTTCATGTCTTTATACTTTTCTATTATATGATTTATGTCAAGGTGTATATATCTATTTTATTGTTAGTAGAAAGTGACTTTTTAAATTTTGCTACACAGATAATATTGCTGTGGTTATTTTTGTATATAATCTGTTGTTCAGAATTCTTCAGGGTCTTTAATACTAGGTCATAAGATATACATTTCATTAAAATATGTCAATTTTTCATAGTTATTATATTTGTTTGTTTACAACAACAGTGTAGGAGAAGTTCTTTTCTGCCATATCCATGTCAATTTATGATGTAAATGTTAAATATGTACACATTTTAAATACTTCCTAATGTAATGTGTAGTTGATGTGTTCATTTTTTTATTTAGAAAAATATGCTTGACACAACATCTTAACTGTAGCCATGCTGTTGTGAAATCATCACCACTATATTCAAAACCTCTTTCATCTTCCAAGATTGAAATTTACCCTTTCATAAAAGCTCCCTGCTCCCCTAGCTTCCAACCATGAAAACCACCATTCTGCCCTCTGCTTCCTTAAATTCTGTTTGCAATATCTTATATAGGGAGAATTACATAGTATTGCACCTATCATCCTTGTGGTGTGGATCAGAGCCCCACCCCCGTTTAAAGGCTAAGGAATCTTTCATTGTGTACATCCCACATTTTCCTTTTTCTTGAAGTCAACAGACTCTGGGCTGCATCTTTCTCTCGGCTATTGTGAATAATATAAATGAAGCACACAGTTGTGCAGATACCTCCTACAGTCATGGTTCCAGTTCTTTTGGATATATACTATTAACAAGATTGAGCTGCCAAAATTGAATTCCATAGACTTGGAGTTGTGAGCAAGAGGAATTCATATTCTCACAGTTCTGAAGGCTAGAACTGTAACATCAAGGCTCAGTCCTGCTCAGTTTTTGTTGCAGGCTCTTGCAGGTTGCCAACAGCCCCTCTCCTATGCCTCATGTGGCATTTCTTTGGGAAAAGGAGAGAGAGAGAATGTGCATTCTCTCTGGTTTTTCTTCTTCTGAGCACTCTGACCCTATCAGGTCTGGGCCTCCCCTCTGGCCTCATTATCTTTACTTTCTTAGGACAGCCCAACTCTCAATGCAGCCTCACGCAGCTCAGTGATTCAGCAGATTACCTGGTGGGAGACAAAACATAAAGACCACAACTTACACAAGTACATTATTTCTGTGATCTCTGCTATCTGTTCTTTCTGGTATGTACCCAGAAGTTCAATTGCTAGATGGTGTGGTAATTCTGTTTAACTTTTTGGGGAGCCATCATACTGTTTTCCATAGTAGCTGCATGATTAGCAAGGGACAGATCTCACAGCTTCTCCACATCCTCACCAATTTGCTATATGAATGGTTTGAAAAATAAGATGCCGTCTCTTTGCAGATTTGGAGCTGTCTTTACACATCTACAACACAGTCACAGGTTTTCTGATAAGCACATTCCATGCACTTCCATGATGGTCTCCTTCCAATTCCACTAAAAGTCAGCATTTAAACTCGGCATCGAGTGACCTGTACAGTGATTTTAGGCCATTGTCTTAGCTTAAGCCAGGCTCTAAATGAAAAGTTGAAAGCTTTTATTGTATCCTTGCCCTGTGTGAGAAGGGTAGAGCTCAAACTCACACTTGTAGAGAGTAGCAGTGGCCAGCTGCTAAAAGAATGGAACCAGACATTTGTTCAATACATATACACAGGCAATGCAGTTTTGCAAGATGAAAGTGTTTTGCGGATTGGTAGTGCCTGTGAGTATTCTTAACACTACTCAAGTGTGCACTTAAGAACTAAAATGGTGAATTTTATTTCACTTAAAAATTAAGAAAAAAAATAAGGTAATAATATTTGACAGTCTGTCCTCCTCCATGTGAAGCTAACTTATGTCAAACTCAAGGAAATGTTACTCACTGGTTGACTCTTTATCCACAGTGATCTGCAGTCCGGGCTCTTACAACCCCCGTGATGGAATTCACTGCCTGCAGTGCAACAGCAGCCTGGTGTACGGAGCCAAGACATGCCCGTAGACCATTGTCTGGAGTCCTTCGGTGGTTTATTCAATGCAAAAGTATATTTTTGAAATATTAAAATATAATAAATCACCATTATGCCAAATTAAATAATCATATTTTACCACAAATTGTGTCACTTTAATCAGATATTCTGCATCCAAATATTTTATGAAGCTGAACATCTTTTCATCTTTATCTGTTAATGCTAGACCTGCACATGACTCCAAAATTGTATTTTAAAAATGGCTTCAAATACACTATCATGTTACCCCAAAAGATTTTTTAGGATTCTTCAGAAATATCCCATTTTATCTTCAATATATATTCCCTAAATCCAGGCTGCCATATTCTTTTGTAATAACTTTCACTTGAGCTATTTTCATTCCTTTGATTTAATTTAATGGGAGTTTTAGATTTTCTAGTTTGACCTTTCACAGTTCAGAGCCAGTTCCTAAAAGCCCAGGGTCTTATTACTGCAATTGCTAGCTTCGTTGATAAAGAACTAGTTCCAATCACACTGGGTTTTTAATATAGTTCAATATGGCTATTTTAAACTTTCAATGTAAAGGCTCTTAAATTACTTTCTTGACATTTTGGAATCGAGTCATCATTGTATGTCCCTGAAGTAATATTTGAACTCTCTCAATAGCGAGATGAAGCGATTTATTTCCCTGATAATACCTTTAGGAAAAAGGATCATCACAACTTTCATTTCATTTCTTCACTGTTAAAATGAATATTATGTGGTAGATATCACAGCTACCACCTCTAGTACTTATCTTCTTTTATATTGGGACACTATCTTTGAGATATGAACAGTGCCCAAAGTGTAAAGACTTAAGTACCAGGAAAATACATGAACAGCTTATGAAATGAATTGTTGCTGTCTGATGTCTATTTGTGTCATCTTTCCTCTCTGGAACACTTCTCTATATCTGTTGCCTTTCCTCATAGGACAAGAGCATTTAGAAGTAGCAAACATAACACAGGTTGGCTCTAGGCCTCCTGCTGTTAGAAGGTTTTACTACCTGAGGATGGCTTTGGTGAGGAATGAATAGCCTCACATGAGCAGTCACCTGGGAAAGCGGAACCTGAGCTCTGAGGGAAATAGTTGAGTCCTGGAGCTCAGATTCCATCTTGAAGTCACAGGTGATCTGGGATAGGAGGGGCGGGACAATAGGAGGGGGTTAAAGCAACTTCAGGATTATGCATATGCAGGCAAACACAAAGTGAATCTTACAAACACCAGAGGGCAGAACAAGATAGAAGAGTCAGGCAAAGAGAGCAGTTGGTAGAAACAAGCAGAAGACAAAGCAGGAGAAGGTGGAGGCATTATTAAGCATGCCCTTCCTGCTTCCCATAGTGAAATGCTCTGTGTTCTCCTGTCACCCACATTTTTCTAGTTGATTGTGTATTTGTCTGTCACACTCATTTATACTAGGATATTTCTTTTCATGGCCCTCTTCACAGGACATAATAATTTTAACAATTTTAACTAATTAGCAGATTAAAGTCTCATAGTGAAAACACTTCAATAACTAAGACAGAAGGTGCTTCTGTTGTAATGCCCGATACCGTATGCAATTCTGACAACTGTTTCAAGTGGTGACAGTACATGTGGTGCAAATTACAAACTGTTGCAAGACAATTTCAAACAGTTTTGTATGCATCCAAACAAGACCTTATGTTTATAAAATGCTTTAATTTGCACAAGGTATTTTTAAAATTATATGATCTTATGTTTCCACCAAACTCTGAAGTTAGAAGGGCAAATGATTCCCATTTTTATCTATTCAAGTTTTTCTCATTATAGAAACCTAATACCTATTCATTTGGCAATATTTAAAAAGAGCCTTAACATGTTTGGTCCAGTAATCTCACTGATTGGACACTTTCTTGAAGTAAATCAGAGGCCAGCTGAAATAATATGTCCATTGGTATTAATTGCCACATCATATATAATAATGAAAAAGAAATTAACATAAATGGACCTGCAAGCGAGAAATGATTGAATAAACTGTGCTGTTTCCATATAGTAGAATGTTACTAATCCTTTAAGATCCCATTTTCAAATTAAATGACTCAATTAGGATTTATTTACATGATTTTAAAAATCTGTGTTGATTAAACTTTTAAAACAAATGCACCGAAATGTTGAAAATGATTGTCTCATTGTGAGGATTTTCTGTAGATTTTTTTATGCCTCCTGTTCTCCACGTTTTCCTCAGTGAAAAAATTTCAAAATCCTGGAGGCAGCAACCTGACCAATGGAAGCAGCAGCGCTTTCCAAAGGACGTAAAGACATTTCTCTCCAAAACGGATTCACCCTTGCTCTCAGCAAAGCTCAAGCATGCTCGGGACAGAGCGCCGCCCCTGTGGCCTCTCAGGGCATGGCTCTTTCTGGCCACCACCTCATTGCAGCCACTGGGCTCTGTGAAGAGCTGCTTACTGCAAGGACACAGGGTGGAGACGTCAGGAGCGCCTGGCTGGAGCGTGCTATTGTCTCTGCCCTTGCCATGACTGAACCCAACCTGCCCAGTGTCTACCCATCCCCTACCCGTCCCCTGGTAGGGAGTTCATCTTGTTTCAGCAAGTTAGGGTTCCTGCCTCTTAGAGCAGAAAGCACCCTAATGGATAAAGTACTGACTGGGGGAAATCTGTAAGACCGTGGAAATAGGGAGGTAACCACATCATTTCATAATCCAGATATCAGTTCAGGCCAATGGTTTGGCCAGTCTCCTACTTTTGCCCGAACTTTTAATTCCTGCTCTGTGAACCACATGGAGCCAGCATCTCCCTCGAAGCCATGGCACACGTGTTTCTGTACTGATTTACTCACTGCATTATCAGAACTATAGAGTCAGACGATTTCACTTATTCCAGAAGAGTACTCTGACACCAGTGGAGCGTTTCCAGTGATGACGGTACATCTTGGCTGCTTCTGGATTGTCACTGTTGTGTGGAACAGAATGGTTGAATCTTCCTCCTGAAAATTCTGTGGTGGTTTAAGATCTTTAGGTTGAATATACCTCCCTCACAGGCTGTCACTGGGCAGACCTGGGTGTTAAGGGCTTATGGTGCCTCCGTGTGCCAGGGAGCCAACCTCAGGCTGAAGACCGGAGAAGCTGAAGGAGCAGTTGACCTCCCCACTCACCTACTAAGGCTGCAGTTAACTGCTGAACGAGGAGGGAGGTCTGGGACGCCTTCAGTTTCTCTTCTAACAGGCTGGGAAGTAGCAGTCAGGGGCATGGGGCCTGGACCCCTGTGGGTGGCTTTGGGGGCTGTGACCCTCTGTGTCAAGCAGAAGCACCCTGCAGCTCCTCAAAGCACTCACAGGATGTCTGCTGCGTCTGACATCTGTAGGTCACCATGCACAGTCGATGGTGCCTCTGCCACTTTCTCTGGAAGTTTCTCAGCCTCGGGCTTGCGCTCTTCCTCTCCTGTCTCCCTTGCTCTTCCACTCTGATCAGCTAAGCCCTCCAGCTCAGCACCAGGAAGCTGACCAGCACCCTCTTCAGCAATCCCCAGTCTTGCTGTTTGCCACTCCCCAATATCTTGTTCCTGTTTCCTGGGCAGCAGAATCTGTTAAGGCTCTTGTGTGTATTCACTGCTGGGTTCTTGTGCAGCCGAGCCTTCTCGGGCTGTCACGCTGTCTCAGGTAGCATTTGGGGCATTGGGCCAGACTCACCGGTCAGCCGGTGCAAACACTGGCATCAGTCCCATGCTCGGATGGCAGCTATTATGCTGCAGACACTGGGCGAATGAGTATGGCCTTGTGGGCAGCAAGAACAGGACTCTCACACTGGGTCATTGCTCGCTGATGGCTGTGGGTGTCCTGGAGCACTGTCTGGGACCTGGAGGCTCTGGGATGTTCTGCAGAATCGCACAGCTTCTGAAACAGCCTTCTGACAGCATCGATCCACCGTGCCCTGTCTGGTGGTGGTGATAAAAGGGAGCACCCATGTGTGGTGGGATTCTTGGGTGCTGCTGGGTCTCTGGCTGATAGTGTAAGAAGGTTTTCACCAGGACCCTGTCCTTGCTCCCTGAAAGCAGTGCTGCACCTCGGGAGTGAATCCAGGGCTGTGCCTTGCACACTGGCAGGTCCTTCCAGAGCCAGCTCCTGTCCTCAGCGCCCAGTGCTCTGGTTGTCCCGGGAGGTGTTCCTTAACGTTGCCACCTCCAGTATTGGTTGCTGCAGCTGCACTGCTCCCTCTGCCTCTCCCAGCCTGACAGGCCTGGGTGTGCATTCCTGTACCTGGGTGGCAGGCCCACACTCCAAGCTCCTTTTATAGGGGGTGGTTCTGTTCTGTTTCGGTTTTCCAGGACAGGGTCTAGCTCTGCAGCCAGCTTGCCTGGAACTCATTGAGCCTGCTTTACGGGCCTGCAGCTCCATACCCTGCAGAGCTCCTTTGTTTGAGTCTGCTGGGGGATTCCTGGGGAGCGGAACTGAAACCTGAGAATGCTGTCCTGTCCTTCCTTACATCCCAGGGTCCCAGGGCAGCCACTAATTTCTTTCTACCATTCAGTCTTGCACTTGCTTACTGTGCTGTGTCCAGGGTCTTTAGTCAGAGGAAGAGCCTAGGAGAAAGGCACTGCTCTTTCCTGGCAAAAGGAGGAGTCTCCTATCTTGTAATTCCTCTCCTCTCCTCTCCGTGCTGTGGACTAGCCCCAGGGCCTTTGTACAGAGCTACATATCCATTTTATTTATATCCATATTTATTTACTTACTGCCTTTTTATTTATTTATATTTTGAGAGAGTCTCTCTAAGTCACTCAGGTGCCCAGGTTGGGCTGGAACTTGTGATCCTCCTGCCTCAGCCTGCCAGAGTGCTGGGATTACTGATGTGCACCCCCATGCTCAGGTTTAATTCTGTCTTTTTAACATCTGCAGAGTCTCTCGCGATGGCCCTTTTTCCATTCCTGATAGTGGCTGTTGATGCCTTCTTTTCTGTGTTGTCCCTGGCCTGGCACATCAGATTTATAATGTCTGTGACACCTTCTCTCACTCATATTTGGAATTGGCTCTTCATTTGCAGTACAGGTTGACTTGTGCTTAGTGTCTTAGTGATTTATAGCTTTGTTGAATTATTGTCAGGATTTGTCATCTGTCTGCCGT